ATTCTTCTAGATATTAATGACATTATTTTTATTTTTTAAAGCAATATATTATTTTTAACTTTAAATCACATTCATCAATAAAACATATAAAAAAAAAACGAATATAACACACCATATTCAATTATATGGAGTGAATCGTTTTAAATTTTGAATTACATTATATGAACGAAATTGGTTTCACCATKAAAATGTTTCGGTTCACATAATTTATTTGCAACAAGACCCGGTTTCACGTTCATGAAACCTGTTTCATTTTCTTTTTCATAATTTATTTTCAAAATGCACCGGTTTTATTTTTCTTTTCATCAACAAAATGGATCAACTATACCATCAATGCAACGGTTTCACCATAAAAATGTTTTGGTTCACCTAATTTATTTGCAACATGAACCGGTTTCACGTTCATGAAACCTGTTTCATTTTCCTTTTCATATTTTTTTTCAAAATGCACCGGTTTCATTTTGCTTCTCATAAAATTTTTTTTACTACACCATCAATGCAACGGGTTCACCATAAAAATGTTTCGATTCACCTAATTTCTCTGCAACATGAACAGGTTTCACGTTCATGAAACCTGTTTCATTTTGTGGATTTTTTTTGTTCATCTACGTTTTGATGATTTCATTYTATAATTCAATTGTTTCATTAAGACACGTTTCCTGATTATAACTCATGACAATATATGAAATCCAAAATTTTAATATTTTAATATAATTAAATTTTTATATGTTACCATATATATAATTTCCTTTATTACGTTTCTTTAATTAAGATTTATTAGCAACTTCCATATTTAATAGAAAATATTGTAAATGACTGAAATACCTTATTGATTAAATTTAATTAGAAAAAAAAAAGAATTTTCCTATTGGTCGAAATTGGTTTACACGGTTTCTTAGAAATGCACGGTTTTCATTTGAACGTGCCCATATATATATATATATATATATATATATAGGCCTATTCAAGGGAGAACTGAGTTGTTTGTGGTAACTGTGAGAACCAATCTCAACCAATCATTTTAACATATTAATTATACAATTAAAATCAAATTAAAAGGGTATGTTAGTCAATTCATAATTTAAAATTAAATTTTAATTTTTTAAATGCAACCGTTTCAAATAAAATAAATAATATTGATTTACATTCCTAAAATAAAATATTAATATCATAGTGAAATAATTTCAAAAAAATAAATCCATTTGTGTAAACATGTTCATTATTHTGATRAATCACATGAAATCACACATATTTGTTGAAGATTGTATCCATAATATTTAAGAATGTTATCACAATGTATCACACCAATTTGTACTAATGTTGTTAATACATCTGCAGATTTTATGTAGCAGAGGTGCTGTTACCACAATGTAGCACAGATTGATTATCACAATGTCCAGTCAAATATTATTACAAAGGCTAAATGTTATCACAATGTATCACACCATTTTCCAACAGATTATGATCAACACTAAATGTACCACAATGTAGCACAAATTGAGATTACTCTAGGGCTTAAGGCAATCGTCTCCGTCTCAAATACAGGAAAGCATCTTCACTATATTTGGATTCCAATTGAACAAGAATATTAACGTACAAAATAATCATCTTGCCCTTGTTCATATAATGTCATTAAATGACAGTAATTTATTTATAGAAATACATTAATTAAGATTCTTTTTAATTTTACCCATTGATTATTATAATATGTGGTTGAGATTGGTTCTTACAGTTAGCACAAACAATTCAGTTCTCATTTGATTAAGCCCCTATATATATATATATATATATATCGCATAGCGGGCTATTAACTCAATGAGTAGAGCACGCCCCTGATAATTGCGTTTGTTGCGGGACTTAATCCAACACCTTATTACACGAGCTGACGACAACCATGTGCCACATGTGTCCTCAAAAAGAATATGGTCTGGTCACAAATTTAGGTAAACCACTTGCTTATTTAGCTAAACTCTATACATTTATAATAGTTATTTAATTTACTTTGTATCTCTTACTTTTTTATTTTACACTTTTGTCATATCAACATACATAATCGTATATTAACTAAAAATGCATATAAAATAATACGTTATTTTTATAAATTACAACATTATAATCTTTTTTTTTGAAGTATATAATATTTATATACGGCAAATGCAACAAATAAAATTACACACCCTCCGCACCTATGGTGAGGTTTTAACCCCTGACCTCCTAGAAGGCCAAGGGCTACGATACCGCTAGACCAAAGGCCATTTGGTTACAACATTATAATCTTCTCGTCAATATTACCTGAATTACCAACTTGCTTCCATTTTCATTCAACTGAAGGTGATGAATTAAGGTTAGGGTATCGGATTCGATCATGGATGAAGAAGGTGAGGGCAATATTTTTTTTTTAAAAAATTTAAATTATTGTAAAAATATAATTATTCTTTAAATTAAAAATAATATAAAAAAGTGAATATTTTATTTGATATCCATAATGATATATTTTTTAATCGAGTTTTAAATTTTTTTAAAGAAATATTTTTACTATATTATAAAACATTTGTCTTATATTTTTAAAAGATTTAAAAGTTCAAGTTTACATTTTTATTGCATATGTGTAATTATTTAATATTCCACATTTCAATTTTGTAAACCTAATGGATAAACATGTTCAAGTACACAATAAACTTTGAACCCTACAAATACGACAAAATCCTCCATAAAACTGATAACGAACCGAATACTCTCTCGCTCTCTCAAAATTTCACAAAACCATAAAAAAAATCGTGAAAGACGGAGAACAGAATGAAAGATGAATCAAGACCGAGGGTTCAAATTGGCTTCTCGTGTTACATTGTACAAATACACTTGTAGTCTGTAAAAAACAGACTTTTTAGGGAAGTAGAAAAACCAGACCTGTATTTTATCTAGTAAGAAAAGACATCCCTTTATCTGAACCGACTCAAAAATCTGGTCTGAAAGCAGTGAGGATCCAACCCGGTTCAAACTGATGACATCATGGTCCTTTATTTATCTGGTTTGAAAGCTATGTTGTTTTTTTGTTTATAAAACATTTCTTATATTGACTTGTGAGGTACAACAATTATTAGGAATCTATGAATAAGGTCCGCCGTACCTATGAGTGCTACAAACGATTTAACAAGAGGAATCAAACGTGTTTTATGACAAAAAAAAAGTACCATGTCTTTAATACAAGATTGACAATACATGTTTCAGTATTCAGATAAATTATTGACCTCAAATTGTCGATACTTCAAATAATTAACAAATTGATAAAATCAGATCGTTTAAGAAGAAATACAGAGTTGATTCTCTTTATTATAAGTTGATTTTTTATTTCAAAATAATAATATGATTTTTGTTTTAAATATAAAAATACCAAATATTTATATACTTGCATCTCGTATCTGTGAGGATGTACCCTCAAATCCGTCAAACACACATCCTGTTAACTCGAATAAAATTCCACAGTCTCCAAATTTTATGTATCAGTTTTGTCCTACTAATCCTTTAAAGACGTATTGTTATTTTATTAATACTAATATTTGATTTATTTTTTTATCTTTTGAATTTATTCTCGATAATATATATGCATCTTTATGTACTAGAAGGTACTCACGCAATACAACGAGATAAATCTCGATTTTAATGTTTGGTTTTATTCTAATCTCTATCGATATAATACGATTTTATGTCGTTTTGAGAAAGCAGTAATGTTTTAAATTTTTAATGAATTTTTTTTCAAGATAACATAAAATTTTGAATAAAAATAAATCGATATTAGTATCAAATTAACTATTTAATAGTTCTCATTTGTTTGGGGTAACTTCTTTAATCCAATTTTTATTATAATTTAATTTAGATTTGATAAAAAAGTAATTTATTTTTAGTTTAATGGTTTAATTTTTTTTATAAAGATAATAATTAAATATTATGTTAGAACTCAATGATTATTTTAATTATATTTTTGATTTTCTATATTTAAAATGAATGTTTATCTTGTATTTGATTATGTTTATCTGCCGTTAGTTACACGAATTTAAAAATGGAGTTTTAATAAGTTGTACTTACGTAAAATTACTTGCAATCCTGAAATTTTAAGTAATATGCATTAATAAACAGTATTGCATGCGTAAAAAATGGTTTTTTAAGAGTTTTGTCAAATGTTTTATAATATAGTATAGATAATTTAGTTGGCAAAAAGACGTAGCGACTTTGCTCAAATACACAAGTTCAAATTCAAATTCTATTGGTGTCTCCAATCTTCTTCCGACACTCACTTATTGCTCCATGCGACTCCCTTATTGTTTCTGGTGGCGTAATTCTAAGCAATTTTAGTGTTTTTTTGGATGATTTCAATATTTAGTTCTGACATTTCGTTCGGGATACTCATTATTTTTTTATTCTTCAGATTTCACACTCTTCAACTACCGTTAATGGTGTCTTCCAAAGGATTTTCAAATGACTCAAAACAGTTCCAAACCCATATCTCATTCAATTTAGATGGGTTATTCGACTATGGATTTCTTTAATTCTTTTAAGTATACTCCAATCATATGACTTCTTAAATCTGTCGTCTTTTCCCTGTTGGTTTCTCGGGTCTTGCCTGCCTGGATCCTTCCCTTGTGGTTGACTCCCTCTCTCTTTCCATCTCTTTCTCTCTGGGCTCCTTGGCTTTTTCTAGTGGATATGGTTCGCCCCCACCCTAATACGTATTTGTTTTGTGTTTTTGGTTTTTTTGCTTGATAGGAGGGGTCTCCCCTTTCATATCAAAAAAATCTGTCGTCTTTAACGACGTGAATACATATTATTATTTTATTAAAATATAAATTTATTTTATTTTGACTTTTGTGATTGGTGTACATAATTCAATCCCCATTATAGCCCTTAACCTTAACCATGAGGCTCTCCTACACCAATTGACCTTAATCTTCTGTTTCGGACACACAATTCGGATCACCAGAGGCCCATTTTATCCCTTTTGAACCTCCCACTCCCCAATTACACCCCTCTTTTCTCTCCTCCATTCTCATCCACTTGAAAACCTGTTTTTGCCCTCTAAAATTTCAACACAAAGACATCAAATTACGAACCCCCCATTTCCAATCAAACTTATTGCTTCTTCTTTCACCTTTCACGTTTCTTGGATCTTTCTTCAAGTCTCAGACAAACCCCACTTTCAAGATTCCCCTTTTCTTCCAAACAAAACATCCCTTTTCCATTTTCTTGGGTTTTCTTGGCCTCAATCTTGTGAATCACCAAGTGGGTGTTCTTAAAGATTTGACCTTTTGTGGGAAAAAAGTCAAATCTTTGATGTGGGTAAGGTTGATTTAGTGTGTGTGTGTTTGATGTTGGAGCTGATTGTGGTTCCACAGAAATGGGGAAAGAAGGAGAGAAAGATGAGCATGAAGAGAGTGGGGATGAGAGGGAAAGTGATGGTAATTTGAAGAGGGTTGAGAGTGAGTCTTCTTTGTATGAAACAGAGGATGAAGGGGAAGATGCAGAGGGTAATAAAATCCAGTTGGGTCCTCAGTGCACCCTCAAAGAACAGTTTGAGAAAGACAAGGTAAAGAAATCTTGAAATCATCATCTTTTTATTCATAATTTGTGTTACATATTTTTGTGATTGTTTGAGGATTTTTAGGATGATGAGAGCTTGAGAAAGTGGAAGGAACAGCTTCTTGGAAATGTTGATATCAATGATGTTGGAGGTATTGTTTGATTTTGCAGGAATTTTAAGATGATTCTTTGTGTTTGTTGATATGTTTAGATGAATGTGCCCAGAATAAATGCATCATAAGGACCCCTAGTTTAATGCAAGGTGCATTCGAAATCAATGTTATCAACGATGCCGTTAGGGGTAAAATGGTAATTTTCTGTCACGACTCTTTTCGGGATGTCTCAAAAGAGTGAATTCATCATGCATGCAATTTGGGACACCCGAAACAAATGTGCTTATGGGACACGTAGTTTGACGGAAGTGATCGACAATGATAAGAGATTACGTAGGGGTAAAATGGTAATTTTATATAATGAAAGAAAAGGCCAAATCAAAGAAGTCCTTCATGACTCTTTTCGAGGTATCTCAAAGAGTGAATTCATTATGCATGCAATTTGGGGCACCCAAAACAAATGCTTACAGACACGTAGTTCGATGGAAGTGATGGACAAATGATATGGATTAAGCAGGGGCAAAGTGGTAATTTCCTATCATGACGAATGAAAAAAAAGCCAAATCAAACAACCCCGTTAGAGTATCTCCAATCGCTTCTCCAAAATGAGAAAAATAGAGAAAATGAGGATTTTGAGCCAATATTTTGTTTCAATAGCTTCCCCAAAACTATCTCTAAAATGGAGAAAATTTGGGGAATCTGTTGGAGATGCTCTTACATCCTATCTAGAACGAGGGTCTGGGATGAGATATACGCAGTTTTTTTTTTTAAGTATATAATATTTATATACGGCAAATGCAACAAATAAACTCACACACCCTCCTCACTGTTGGTGAAGTTTGAACCCTTGACCTCCTAGAAGGCCAAGGACTACGATACCACTAGAGCCGAAGGCCCTTTGGTATATATACGCAGTTTTATGTTACGCCGAATTGCCAAATTCGATGGAATCATGTTGTTTATGCCTTAGATTGCAGAATTGTCATCATAGTTTGATTCACTTGCATATAATGTTGGTTTACTATTTGTTTGATCTTCGTTTATAGACGTTGTACGCTAACTTCTTGACCACATTTACGAGTAATCCAACGATGTGATGATTGAAACTATGGTTTCGTTTGTTTTTCAGAAGCACTGGAACCAGATGTGAAGATACTTAGCCTTTCAATCTTGTCTCCAGGGCGATCTGACATTAAACTTGCGATCCCTGAAGAAGGTGGCAAAATTGAAGGCCGTTGGTTTACTCTGAAAGAAGGCTGTCGTTACAGCCTCAGGTTCGAGTTTAAAGTCAGCCATAACATCGTTGCAGGCCTCAAGTACACCAACAACGTCTGGAAAACTGGTGTCAAAGGTAAGCCGTCCTTGGTTCCTGCCAAGGGTCACCCTGGTGCACCAGGGCTCCTTAAAAAATGGCCTTGTTGCACCCGGGCTTGTCAAAGGGTGAACTTGGTGCACAATGGCTCCTTGAAGGGTGAGACTGGTGCACCAGGGCTCACGTGCACTATGGCATGTTAAAGGGTGACCTTGGTGCATCCGGGCTCATCAAAGGGTGACACTTGGTGCAGCAGTGCTCGTTAAAGGGTGACACTTGGTGCAGCAGGACTCGTTAATGAGTGACGCTTGGTGCTGCAGGGCTTGTTATAGGGTGACCCTGGTGCATCAGGACTCTTTATAGGGTGACCCTAGTGCACCAGGTCTCGTTGTAGGGTGACCCTAGTGCACCAAGGCTCGTTAGGGCCATAGCATGCAGTCGGATGCTTAGGTGACACATTTTCCGACTATGTTTTGCAGTGGATAGTGCAAAAGAGATGCTTGGAACCTTTAGTCCTCAATCCGAGCCATACGCCTATGAGATGCCGGAGGAGACTACCCCGTCTGGCTATTTTGCACGAGGCTCATACTCTGCTAAAACCAAGGTAAAAACCGAAACGTTTTTCAAGTCGAAGAAAAAAATACTTGCTTGCTCGGTTGTACGTGTTTTGACTTTTTTGAAGTCAAACCCGAGACTTTCCAAATTAAATAACAAGATGCATATCTGTTGCAAACAAGCAATTGTTTTCATGTTGTGTGCAGTTTGTTGATGATGACAACAAGTGCTATTTGGAGATCAGCTATACATTCGACATCCGAAAGGATTGGGCGAACGACTGAATAGAGAAAAGACGATCGTTTTTTCATAGTCTGATGTTAGAAAAGCTCGAAAGAATGTTTGGGTTTATAGTGTGATATTTAGGCGAATTCAATTGTAGCGTTGATGACATAAGCCGTTGAGCGAAAGACTCGGGTTTTTTTTTTCCTTCGTGTTTTTTGTGGTCGGATTAATCCTCAATAAAGAGGGGGATTAAGGTTAGATGTTCCTAATTCCCTCTGTTTTTTCAAGATTTATTTGAAATTTCATTCTTCTTGCTGTGTTATTGTTTGTGCAAATTTGTTGTGTTTGAATGTTGATTTTTAGGTTGGTTCAAATGTTTGCTATGTTAATGGGTTGTTCATCACGACTGAAAAGGAGTTGTATCGATAAACCGAAACGGTTAAAACCAGATCATCAATCGAGTACAAACAACTGAAACCAGACCGGATTACCAGACTGCTAAGATTGTCAAAAAGAGCATTGTTTGACTTGGAAAATAGTTTGTTTTTGTTAGGACTAATCAATCATAAATAGAAAGATGTATGTATTAAGGTAAACAAATTTACAAAAAAAACGTAAAAATGTATGAAACGAACACAAAATCAACAAAACAATGATAAGTCGGTATAACCAATGCAGAGTAGAGATGGCCAAAAACCGGTATAACCCATTTGGCCATCGCATTGCAGAGTAGAGATGGCCAAATGGGCCCGGCCCGGGACCGTCGGAGGACCGGGACCGGGACCGACAAAGGACCGGCCCGGGACGGGGACCGGTAAGGACCGGTTATGGGACCAAAAACCGGGACCGGTTGAGGTTTTTGGTAGTTTCGTGGGACCGGGACCGACCGGGACCGGACCGGTTATGGGACCGACTATGGACCGGCCCGGCCCGAAAATT